CGGAGCGTGGATAGGTCCCACGTAAGGTGGTCCTACGACCTGGAGCAGGTCGCGCCCCGTTGGATGCGTGCAGCACACTAAGGGTTGTTGTGGGTAACCTTGGCTGAGATGATGATAAAGACATCCATCAAGACTCGAGATCGATGAGAGACATCAGACTTTTATTTTGTAGAGATTTAAGGATAACATTACCTATAGCCTCGCTAGGCATAAGAGCGGATGTGGTAATGAAGAAAACGTGTAAGACTGTGGTCTGGACAATTAACTTGCCGGCACGTATGGATGGCAATATTATTGATGCACAAGAGTTCTTTAATATGTTACTCGAAATCGGTAATTATACGTTTCCAAAAGAAAATTAGACTTACATCTCGCTTATGTCAGATGATATCTTTTTTTAAAGAACTAACATTATCAGTATACAGTGAACTATGGAGAGTGTAATATGTAGATGACTCTTAGTTCTGTTAGCGCGCTATATTGACATCTCGCAATTTCTAAAGCTTTATTATAAACAACGCCATTTTAAATCATATAGAGAGCAACAATATTGTCTACAATATTAGTCGATTTTTTATATTCTTTGCCTGCATCGGGGCTTCCTCCATGCAACGGGACATGGCTTAAAGTAACTACTTTGCAGCGGAACCTCGACGGAATGTGGTGTTTCGGTCCGGAACTGCAAACTTTATTTATAAACTAAATTCTAGGCCGTAAAGGAAGCTAGAAGGTGGTTTTAAAAAACTCCTATACGTAGTTGGCGAGCGATAAGCGACAAGACACTGAGACTGCGGCCTTTTGGCCAATAATAGTACCTACTTATTTTAGGAAAGTTAAGTCATAATTTCTAACTGATAAATACTTTTAGGGTTTTGGTAGTATCAGATTCAGATTAATCACGACAAGAATACAAATTTTAGTCCCTTATAATACCCAAAACCAAATTTTACGCGTACGAAGTAGCGGTCACAGCTAGTTCCTTAATATATAGATAAGTACCAATAGTAGTGTAATAGTCCAGTATACAGTTACGTACGTAAGAAAAATCGTACGTCAGTGTTTTATATGGAAAATAATACAAACGCACTTATTACGACTACGGGACCGTTGGTCTGGTGTCACCAGGTGTTTTTATGTAATGAGCACGATCGTCAGTTCATAATCATCAGGACCAATAGTTTTTTATTTAGTATTACTAACAGATAAAGCGATGAAAGGTTCTACAAGCGTACAAACGTTGGTAACAACTTTCTAAAGACTTATAAATTTAGTAGGGCACTGGCCCTTCTTATGGGTCAATCTTTGCCTTTGGCAAAGAACCACCAGTTTTAAAATAAGTTAGGAATGTGCATAATAACGATGAACAAACATTTTGGAGTTTGTTATTAAGAAGACCATAAACCTATCCATCCGGTTACGCCGGATGCGGCCCTTGTCTTAACTGTGGGACTGCCCGGCTGGTTCATAAAACATTAAGGTCTACACACACGAAAAAATTTTATTGAATTTCTTTCAAATTAAGTACATGTATCGTAAAAAAAATAGACTTACTATACAAAAATGCATCTGACTTTTATGTTTCACTAAGGTAGCAAATAAACCAGACTTTTTGAATGAAACTGAAACTTTAATAGGTGGGTGATCTCTGCTTTTGTGGCCAACGAACTCTATCTGAGCACATGCATTAAGAGAAGTCGGTACAGTCTAATAATACCAGTAATCCTTTTTACTTGTAAATACTAGTGACACACATTTTTAGTAATAAAATACGCCCAGAGTTGAGACATCCGGGCTAGACCTGTCAATTTCAGTGACAAGCAAAAATGATAGTAAACAAGTTTTGCAGATTTAGTAAAAATAACAATAATACATACAGCAAGTGAAGAAGAAAGTGGGAGCTGTGGGCTATCAGGAGGTCAAACAGATCGCAGGAAATAGAGAGGAGTGGCGATTATTCCACCGTTGTCGGTGCCCTTGTGGGCTTGGCTTTTCCATTAAGAGAGAGATCAAGAATAAAATACTACTATGGGCATTGACTAATAAAAATACTAAAGTAAGTTTTAGTAAATCAACAAATTAGATAATGGCACAATGTACTGTAAACATTGTAAAGCTGAAGAGTTTATTTAATTGTTTGTCTGAATGCGCTAATGTCAGGAACTAATGGTTAGAATTGAGCAATTCTTTTAGTGTTGGATAGCACGTTTCTCGAGGAAAGCTTTAGGCTATATATATAGGCTACCACCATAAGGAGCCAAGATCCATGAAAAATGATGCAAAAACGAGGGAAAACACGTTAGAAAACAGTATATCGTAATCGTAATAGTAAGTATTCACCAACACAAAAGTGGTAATGTAGTACAACTAATAAGCCAGAACCAGTTTCAAGCCTAGATACATGCAGTTATTAACTGACAGATTACATCGTTTCCAATAGAAATTACAATGATTTATAGGTCCAATAACCACTTCTCCACAGCACCTATAGAATTAATTAATATAATTCATAATAAGGTTTGCTCAGGTCCGTAATTGTTAAATAAGGTCAATTGCCAAGTCTGTGAATTGCATCTGCCGTATTGTGGTTACAAACTCACGATGTAAGAAGTAATTAAAGAAAATATTGATGTTTATTAGTTTTATATCAAACATATACTAAATTATTAAGTCACGTATAAGGGAGAGTTACAGGTCGTATGTCATAATGCAACTGATTATATTTTATGAGCTCCACTTGTTATAACCACTTAAGCACCTTTTAGTTGGCGTAGTTCTAATTGTCGTACAGAAATCTAACCTCGTGATCCAGTTTGGATGTATAATATTATAATTTGGCTTCGGTATAAAGTGTGTGTTTTTAAATTTGTCATGGAGCGAAGTTCAACAAGCGGCTCTGAACCGATTGAGATGGATACTTGCTGTGAACGCCCTCTGTAGGGTATAGGACAAAGGACGTTAAAGATAAATAAAGAGAAGAATGGCAGAATCACCTGTTTGACAAAGCGATACAAAAATAACTTCTACAGTATTGTATTTTTTATATCCTCTCCTTATCCTTAGCTGCTCGTGTGCTCGAAACGTGAACTGGTGATGGTACCATTTGAAAGATTAAACCCTGTATCATCTTGATAGGATCCTGCCGACGGTAAGCCCAACTTGTTCCGGATGAATCGGTTTTGGTTTTTTATAACTACTACTGGTACTACTTTGCTACCTTCTTAATAACTACCTTTCTTAAGAAACTAGAGCTGTAGTACCAGTAAACTCAAGTGTAAATTAGCCTTAACAATCGCTTTTTATTTTTATATTGAAATGGAACCTGTTATAATAAAAACTTGGACAGGTCGAGCTCAGTTCTGTATTGGACATCAGTTTTTCTCAATATAGTATTTGCAAGCGGTGAACATAAAAATGTTTAACGTTTTAAATTATGTTCGTTAAAGGGATAATTGAATATTTTAAAGATTACTTTGTACGTAAGATAAATGATTTTGATTGTCGGATTTATTGGCAATAGTATTCTCTCATGGCTTGTATAGATGTCGAGCAAGAGAGGGATCATCATCATCATCATCAGCCTATCGCAGTCCACTGCTGGACATAGGCCTCTCCCATGCAGACGCAACAAAGAGAGGGATGGATAATATTAAATGTTGACTGAAATCGAGGGATTTCATTTAAAAACATTCCTTTTTTTCATTTAAAGTCTGTTGAAACTGGTATAATTGAAACGATTTTCGGAAACACTACCATATCTATGATAAATTGTAGGGTGGATAAACATCACACATCATCACACACATCAACAGCCTATACTAGTCCACTGCTGGACATAGGCCTCTCCTTAGAAAGGAGGTTTTGGCCTACTATACCACGCTGGCCAGACGGGTTGGTATAGGGTTTGTTTCAAGTTTTCCTTCTCTTTGCAGTGCTGTTGTCCTGCTTAGTTTGCTCCCTTAGTCGGCTCTTACGACACCCACGGGATGAATTGGGGTGGTGACAATTTGTATTCTTAATCCGTCACCACACGGACAGTAGGATAAACACCGAGGGGAATTACTTTTTAAAGGGTAGACATTTCTGCCAGTTTCAATATATGTAATCCACACTATGTCTAGCGTTTAATTCATGATTAGTAAACAAGTACACTTTATTGCATGGTACGTGTTGGAGTATCTCATAAATTTGGTTCAAATTTTGTTTTTATCTAAGGTTTTGTTTTTTGATACAGAACAAAAATAGAGTTCAGATAATTCTTAAATGACGTCCTGTTTACTTTTTATGAGGCAAAGTACGCATGAATATTCTTCTAACCCGAAAGTGCTGTGACCGCAACGGAAAAATACAAAAAAATAGTCTACAGTCATACTTTACGTTCATTACATATATTGCATGGCTTTTTAACTCATCTCACATCTACAGCCTTTAAAAGTCCAATGCTGGACATAGGCCTCTCCTTAGAAAGGAGGTTTTGGCCTACTATGCCATGCTGGCCAGATGGGTTGGTATAGGGTTTGTGTCAAGTTTTCCTTCTTCTTGCAGTGCTGTTGTCCTGCGTAGTTTAACTTCCTTAATCGGCTCTTATGATGCTTTTTAACTACACACGGTAAATAAATAAGAGACATAAAAGCGTAGCTACTTTTACTTTGTTGATTGAACCCAGGGACAGATTTAAAAAAATACTGATATGTTGGTCTAGTGGTGAGTGACCCTGACTGCTAAGACAGAGGTCGTGGGTTCGATTAAATCCCACCCAGGACAAATAATTGTGTGATGAGCACACAATTGGCACACAAAAAAAACGAGCACAAAAAAAACTATCTCTGTTTGTAATTTATGTATAATACTCGTATTTATGTATTTAGAAAAATATAAGTATGTTTATCAGCAGCCTGGTTACCATAGTACGGACTTTGCCTAGTTTGGGATCAGAAGGCCGTTATTACTATTTCTGAAATACACACGTGAGTCGTTGGTTCTTTATAAAGGATTTTTTTTGTTCAAAAATGTATCAAAAAATCGCGGGGCTTTTCATATGGCTTTATATCACCCTTAGCAACAAATATAATCCTTACCTTAGATTCAAGCCGTTCCGTTTCATTCTTGTAATGTGTTCGTTCACTTTCCACTTTGTCCAACTTGCCCCTTAGGGTCTCCAGCTCGTCCTGCAAGAATCAACCAAATCACTTAATCAACAGGGTCCATATTCCTTCAGCTTGTATAACTAATGTTAGAAAACGTGCACTTTCTGTCTCACATCATTTGTAAGCAATTATAGAAACTGTGACCTGTTCAGTTAACATGTTGGTACTATAGGAACTGTTGTTTGACTGCGGAAGATTTCTTATGAAAGTGGTGTGTAGTTAAATCGTATGTTAATATGTAATGTGTATTCATAAGGATTTGCATGTTTGTTTATGCAATAAATAAGATAAATGATCATATGTTGAATAATATACTCTCTAAAGAAGTTTATTAAACTTGCTGTTTCTACACTACAATTAGATTATTTTCATAATATTATAAACTAGGTGGTACTCGCGACGGTGCCTTAGTAGTTCGATTCCTAGACCGGGCAAAATTTTATAGGATTTTTCTGAGAGCCAAAATAGCCTAAGTTACTCCTCATATAGATAGCCACATACAGATATTATTAAAATCGGTCAAGCCGTTTGAAGATTACCCGGAATAAATAGACATACAGGCTGACTGACTGACAGACACAGATATATAATATTTAATCTATTTTTTAGGCATAGGTATCCTGCAAATAATCGTGCGAGCATGAAAATAACCTAATATTTTGACATTAGAAACAGACTTTTCAATTTTATTTATTTGTAATAGATAATAGTTGTAAAAGTGAGTTTCTTTGTTACGCTGTCAACCACTAAACTGATTTTTTAAATTCTTTTACCAGGCTACTATTTCCCGCTGTAACCGACATGAACGTGGGCGGAATTAAAGTTACTAATATATAAAAATGGAAGGAGGATGGTGGATTAATGAGGACGTCCTCTGCCCCATCTCAGGGACATAGAATATTAAGTGAAGTTAAGTCATATAATAATAGCATATTGAACCTCCATATACTATAATCAAATTCTACGAAAATTCACTTTAAACGTCAAAAATAAATCAAAATCGGTTCAGCTTTTTGGCAGCTACGTTGTATCAGACAACGATCAAATGCCTCATGGTTATCGTCGTCAATAATACGAATAAATGATATATTTCTATGTATCTCTCTTAAAAATTAAAATATAGGTATATGGCGCATCAATTATTGACTATAACGTGTCGTCAGATAAAATTTCATATTTTTAGGTAAATAGGTTTAATGTCTGTGACTGATAATGACATTTTTACAGTTTTTTTTTGTAACTAGGATGGCAAAGACACAAACAAGGACTAGCATTTGTAAATCCCCAATGCAGTTTCGATGACTTAGTCGACTATATACATTTTTTATACGATTTACAAGTTTGGTGTGGGCGCATTTAAAGGTTATAATATCAAATTTAAGTACGATTTTTCTATGGGTCTGCATGCCGTTCTAAAATTCACATTAAAATTCTTAAGGGGAGTGTATTAGTGAGTTAAGTACACAATAATTAAGAACAAAACTGAAAGTAGTTTAGAATCTACATAATGTAAGCAAAACTTTCTCAATATTTTAGAGGATCGTGTCAATGACCTCATTTTCTTGTTATTGTTTAGTTTAGTATTGCTTTTTTTTTCTCAAACGCTGGAGGTTGATGACCTTTTCTCTTTATGATACATATTTTTCTTAAATAACTTCAAAAACGATGAGGTCTTCAATTTGACTGTACCTATATGTTATTTATTTTAATCTGAATATTTATTTCTGATTGGGAAGTGTTACTCAATTACTCAAAAGGGGCCCCCTTGAGTATTTCTCATTTAAATTTTAAAATATATAGAACCTCTAAAATATGTATATATCTTATTGTTGTAAAATAAATTCATAAGAGTATGTTGGGAGTACTGGTACGTATTGCTTCAATTGTAAATAAGGATTTCATCGATACCCTTAAAATGACCAGAGCGTTGATGACTGCAACATCTTTCACGACTGACGACCCAACTGATTACACGATTTATAATTCTGATTGAGAATATCTTAAAAAAAGGAAAACAGGAGTCTTCAAGTATTGAATGTGAAAGGCAGTTCTGCAGTAGCACTGCAAAGGCAATAAAAGAAAACACCTAAATTCGTATCGGAGTGGAATACAAAGCGCCTGCGTAAAAATACACGGCAATGTTACATGCTGCCACTATTTCTCTTATCAGTAATGTGAAATGTTGGCTAGAAATAAACTGTATATATCATAGATACACAGTCATAAGGTCATCAATATTTCAACATCAACATTTCCTGCCTTTGTTTGCACTTAATTTGGGGTAGGCGCTATGTGTAACATTGCAAAGGTTTTGGCTAGTTTTCTTAGGGTTTCGTAGCATATATTGCTACTTTTAAAATATTACCATGTGATGAAATGATTGGTTTTAGTCACTGCGATTTTACCTGTGAGAAATCGCTATCCCAGTAGCGATTTATCACAGGTAAAATCGTAGTGAGTGTACTTAGTTATATACCAAGAAAAATACCTTTAAAACTTAAAAAAACACCAAATCAAACCTCAAGCAAAGAAAACACCAAACTTTTTTTTAGATTTAATTTTTTTTTAGACTTAGATCTTAGAGTCTAGCGCTAGCTAGCCGCAGTCTTGTCGTCATTGAGTCATAGGTGTGATTTTCTGATAAATAAAATATAATAGTGATTTAATTCCATCCCTAGTTTGTGTCATAACCGGGATTGAGACTGGAGTAGTTCTCAGACTTCGGGATCTCATCTCTGTGTGTGTCTGATAAAACTATTAACTAAAAACACTAAAATATAACTAATAAACAGTAAAGGCCGCTGGAAAGTAAGCTGTTATCGTCAGGTACTTGCAACACTCGGTCACTCATTGCCAATTGCGAAATTATTAATAAAATAAATACAACACTAGTTATCATTCCAATATAATATGATAATAATCTATACTAATATAATTGAGGTAATTAATTTATATAAGTATATAAGTTTGTATGTAAAGGTCAATCTTTAAAACTACTGAACCGATTTTGGTAATTCTTTTACTAATATGCTGTATAATATAGCTGCATTATCCTAGAGCGATATAGGTTTTTTAATCATGTTCATATCGTCCATATTAGCCGAGCTATCACAAGCAGGTTAAGCAATTTGACAAGCAAGTCAGAAAATGATTCCCTTATAACATAATTATTTACATGCGCTCCTTAAATAGTTGCATTTAATTGAAAAAAATGTCCAGCAAACCTAGGCCGCCTTAAATAAACCTACAAAAAAGAGAGCGACATCATATTTCTATATTTATTAGTTTTAGAAGATATATGTAGGATATATTTTTTATTTAAATAGAGCTTTTCGACATATTTACGTTTGGACAATTACTTAAATAAAAGAACAATAACTCTTATGACCACACGGACATCATAGAGATAAGATTGGCGCTGTTATTCAGAATGATGCACGCCTTTATGAAGAAAAGCCTACTAGTACTTATTGCCTTACATCCTCTTAAAAACCTTAAACCTTCGTTCGTTTCACAGTACTTTCAACAAATTATAAAATATTGTACGTCATAATTATTTACAGTCATGTACGATAGATAATTATCACGTGCAATATTTTGCTAATCAAGAGAAAGGGTTGCTCGCGACTAGCAAAAGCTAATTTAATACCAAGGTATTACGATGCATGAGCTAAGGTATTTATTTGAATTAACAGACAAGATGAGATATCGAATAATCAGATATTTTTTTATTTTATTTAAAAATGAATATTTTAAATATTTACTGCTTTGATCACTGTTAAATATTTCCTAAAATGTACTTACGCCTAATCTTAAGGTTATTACCCCCCAATTGCACGCGTGAATAAGTAGCAAACTTAACCTACCTATGAAAAAATCGTGTAGTCGTGTATGTATCAGAGTTGACTGTAAATTTATTCTATGCCTACCAATTTGTTGCAATAATCCTCCAGCTTTAATGATGCCCAATTTAAGTTTACATTCATAGATGACTTTTCTATCAAAAATCGAATTAGGTCACAAATGTGCAAGAATGTCAATTTATAAGCAACACATTTTTATTACACGTGTACTATAATAGTTGTAATGAAAGCGGGAATTTGATCGTGATGCGCATTAGAGCGAGGCGCCTGCGCATGCTGCAGTAAATGAGAAAAAAAGACTGCCGCGCCGATATCAACAACAAAATGTTGCGTCTTAATATTTTGTATGCCACCATAGTGGTAAAGAACTAGTCTAAAATTCACAAAACAACACAATTCAAAGCACAACAAGAAGTATGTCGATTGAATTCCATAAATATCTTTTTTTTCATATCCGTGTCAATAAATTTACCATAACTATTGAAATAAATTATAAGTAAAAGTATTATACCGGCGTTATAAACCGGCTCACGCCTTGCTGCGCTTCTCTTTCTATTTTCTTCGTAGTAGTTTAATTTTCTTTTTAATTGGGTTTTTCGTGATGAACGAAAGCTGATGTTGTTGTCGGTGTGTCAACCAAAATGCATTTTAATTTTGTTAGCAGAAAGACATGCGGATACCTAACACTTATGGATCCAAGCACTTATGTGTATACATAAACTAGATTCAACAAGAAGGGCCAACACATACATGGACATAACACACAACGTTACACAATCGTTAGACAACGTACATACCGTTTGATTTCTAATCTCATAAGAGATCGGATAAGGGCAATTAAAGAGCTGTCATACATACGATTACGCCATGCGGAAATGCTGTGCCATGTTAGCATGTGGGTAAAAGCAGCATGCGCGAGCGTAGAGTGCATGTGGGTATTAAAGGTATATTAAACGTGTTCAGGAAATATATTGTTCGTAAATCATTTAAATCGGGATCAACATCATCATCAGCCTATCGCAGTCCACTGCAGGACAGGCCTCTCCCAATCTCTTCTCTCTCCTAAATCGGAATATATATTTTTTTTATTCTATGAACATTTTCGCACCCTATCATTAAAAAAAAACACCAGACAAGTATCGGCGACAATCCTTTTCA